ATACCAATTCTGCATTCCTAATAAACAAGATACCTCACACACTACCGTTATTCCCTGTATTGACCCGTGTGATATTGATAAACCACTGAGTTCAATACTCTCAAAAGACTACAAGTTGATCTTCCACTTCCAACACCCGTCAGTAACATCCTGTAGTTTACCTGGTAAATGTGGGTTTATTCTAAAAACAGTTCCCAGTGAAGCTGCATTGTGGACCTTGAGACTGTGTACTGATAAAGAAGATTACCTGGGTGAAACAGTGCACTTTCATGATGAGATTAGAGCAGAGAAAATGCATGTTTTTATTAGAGCCTATTATAGCCCACTATTACCATTAACTTGGTTAGGCTGGCTTCATGTTAAAGATGCTCACCAAGAAAGAGACGACTGGGAGTTCAAGATTTTTTCACATTCGAATTTTTACAACATACAAGTTATGTTTAGTAAGTGACAGTTAATGCCTGTGACTTCATTGTTTGTTTGTTTGTTTTTACAAGAAACGATTTTGTCTAGAAAACTGACATTTTACTTGTTCACTGCATTGAGGTAATCCCTACAACTCTACAATATAGAGGATGATGTTATTACATAATAATTCTTATTGTATTCATAAATTATATTCATTCACTTGTTCGTTCTACTCATAAATGCTTTTCTTTCAGTCTATTGTGTAGAATTTATTTTGTACTTCAGTTTTTATGACAGAATTGTGTGCTTGGAGTTATCACAAAAGATAAATACAAATTTATCCACCCGGCCACCCCACCCCCAAATCTGATAATTGATTTGTCCAGTAAGGATGGAAGAGTCGCAACATAAACCAAGACTAGACAAGAACCACGGATTTCTACATCACATAAAGCGTAACCAGATAGACAGGCGAGACTACCACGAGGAGAAACTAAAGGTACCTCAAATATTTTTTTTTAAAGGGTTGGAGTTGGCAAATATACGGGATTACACAAGATTTACATAAGATTTACACAGGATTCACACGGGATTTACACGGGATTTACACGGGATTTACATAGGATTCACACATGATTTACACGGGATTTGCATAGGATTCACACGGGATTTACACGGGATTTACATAGGATTCACACAGGATTTACACGGGATTTGCATAGGATTCACACGGGATTTACACGGGATTTGCATAGGATTCACACGGGATTTACACGGGATTTGCATAGGATTTACACGGGATTTACACGGAATTTACAGACCTTTATTTGCCAGATTTTGGTGAAAGTTATAGCGAAAAATTTGTTCAAACACTATCGCTCTTGATATGTATTACGTCTAGGATTCAATTTTAATTAGTGATCATAATATTTTCAGGGCCAAGTAAAGGAGGATCAGTCAAGGAATATCAATTAGTGATCATATTTTTCAGGGCCAAGTAAAGGAGGATCAGTCAAGGAATATCAATAAGTGATCATAATATTTTCAGGGCCAAGTAAAGGAGGATCAGTCAAGAAACAAGGACCGACATGACCGCCGCTCACGGGATGACCGCCGGAATAGAGGAAGGTCACGTGATGACAGAAGATCTACTGATCGGTTTACTGCAGAACAAAACAAAAAGGAGTACATGGACAAACCCGTTAGTAGCAACTAATAGGCTATTATATTTAATATCAAATTCTATTAATGTGCAAACTTGTTGAGTATCTTCATTTATCTAAAAGTAAAGAAATGGGCTGAATTATGCTAGAGGAGGAGGTGCTGATTACAAATTATTAAGAGCAGATCTCACTTCAGGATAAGGAAGGAGTTGTGTTTACTTTATCCATTGAGTACTGTCCTGACAAGGTCGCTGTCTTGAAAGTTAGACAGGTCAGACTTTATGTTTTGGTTTTCATAAAAAGCGATTAATAACTGAAATTCATTGCGACAATGTAATTTGAATTTATTAAATTTAAAATAGCTTAATAGTTAATGTGTACAAAAAGTCCTCGTTACATTTGATGAACTTTATGTCAAATTACAAATTACCAATTACAAATTACAGAGAGACGATCCTGACACCTTAGCTAAAGCATTCACAAAACAATACGGCATGAGAGAGGATCTCACCCTTGCCCTAACTCACACCATCTCACAGAGAATGGGACTCAAATGAACTGTCACGTGACTGAAAGTTTTATAAGCTTTGGTTTCGGTTTCGGTTTTTAGCTCAATGAAGTTCTGTAAATAAAATTCATTTCAAGTTGATGTGTTATGCGATTATCCGGCTGGGTTGAAATAAACATGTTTGGAACTATACTTATTTAGTCTGACACTTCTTTGTTATAGTTGAAATATCATTGAATATGTCACTTCACTGTTATTTAATGTAGAATTGTTTCTACACTTTTTCTGTTATCCACATTTTTAACAAGCAACTTTTAACCTTAATCATGTTGAGTTTTGTTCGCATTGGTAGATCGTGATTTTTTGTGGTTCATAAATATGGTTACATGTTCAGTTGCCATACATTCCGTTAATCGAATTGTTGTATATTCTATAAAAATGTTGAAGTTGCAATGAATAAACCTTTGTCGTGTTATCTCTTGACTTTCTAAATGTGGATATTATAATATGATATGTACACTTGGAGAAAATATCTGATGTACAATTAAATTAAATTATTAAAATATTTTTATGAATATTTGCGATGATCTTATGTATCATTTATGTTTTGATTTGATTTGTCGTGTAAAGTTACATTTAAATAACACTCCAGCATTGACAGAACCCATTTATTAAGCTTCTTGACAATATGGCTGATGCTGAACTGAAGAAGGCTTTTACCGAGCTGAAGAATAAAAGTGTAGAAACTGCCACCCGAATCAAAGCTGTCGACAATCAGGTGACTTTTAAAAAATCTAACCTTACTTTCTGTCAATGACTATATTCATTTTTGGTGCTGCTCTACCGTTTCCATGTTCTGCTATTTTTAAGCTGTTTCTTCTTTCTGTTAACGGTAATTTTCAATTTAGGTTGAGCAATGCAAAAACAGAGGAAAGCATGCAGAGCTGACCTACATGGAAGTAAAGCAAACTAGTGGTACAACTAAGTTGTATGAAAGTGTTGGTAGGATGTAAGTTTACAGTTTATCTTAGTATTCCCACATAAAAGCTTAGGGATTTTAAATTGGGAAAGAAATCACATTCAGTAATTCAGCATGCTAAAGTCGATATTAAATTCGGGCGGTCACTGGTCAATGTAATGCTTCGCGTCTGGCGCGGCGAGTTATTTCTTGTTAACACACAATTTCATCGATTTCAAACGAATTTTTGCGCCGCGCGCATGTGTATCTGTAACGACTATTATCATGATAAAATCGCTTCCCTTTCCCTTCTGTTATTTTACTCGCCACACGATAGGGCCCGACAAGATGTGCCGTGGCTCGGGGCTGTTGTGAAAAAGGGAAGATCAATTGTTTCTGAATGCTGGGCATATTCACATCACTTAGTTGGGCCATGCGGGTGGGGCCAGAGATTAGAGATTAGAATATAGGAGCACACATTTAGAACTCCTTCCATACTCCTTCATGACTAAATATGGGCGTGTGCCAAGTCAGTGGTTTCGTGAACCTACCTAATGCGGGTGGGGTCAGAGCTTCAGAGAGTTTGAAATTGTAACCCCGAAACGTAATCTGTTTATTTGGGGACCAGCTTTTGGTAGACTGGTTAATGTTTATTATAATATTGAGGTATTACATTTAAGTAATAAAAAAGTAAAGTAACAAATGTTGCAAATATGCAGCGTGTAATTAGTCCAGTGAGGGATATTCCGATACAGTTGTGATGAACACGAGCGCTAATCCTATCGAAAGTGAAGCTGAGCGGTAATTGCTATCATGAATCATGGTTCGCATTGATAAGACCTAATTTAGATACGAGTTGGAGTTTCTTCGTTAGATGTGTCTCGTTTTTCAGGCCCGTCCGCCTTTTCGTTACAGTCCTAAGCGAGCAGTGATCCATACAATCTCTTCGTTTATCAGAGGTTAATGAGAGTTGTATCACTGGTCACGTTCTAGTAGTATTAGACTTGAGAACCTACCTTGTGCAGTAGCAGAGTCTAACCGTACATAAACTAAAGATTGTTTCTACGCTATAAAAACGTTTGTGATGTTTCTGAAACTTTCACACACAAATCGCATATTTACAATTCAATTTTCCGATTTAAAAAAATTATGTTTGCCGTTATCGGTTATCTTATCTTGTAAATTAAATTTCCAAGTCTCTCTGCAAATCGCCAGACAATGGGGATGCTAAAGCAGGATACGATAACTACATGATTTAGTTTTCTGCTCAACTAATTATGAAGGATAAGGTTGAAAAATTCTTTTCGTGATTCAATCAGTCTATCAAAAGGTTATAAATTTACCGGTAATAAATTAATATATATATATAAATTATTAATATTCGGCCTATTCGATGTTGGACACTATACGGGTACATTCCATTGGGGCCTGATTTGATCTTTCTGGAAGAATTCTGCAATAAATTAGTTTAGTCAGTTGTGATCACCAGACTCTTACTCTTTTCCTGAATAATTTCGTATTTCCCGGACGACACAATACCCACTATTGGCATCTTACCAAATGTCCTGGCCTAACTTTCTATTGGCATCTTACCAAATGTCCTCGCCTAACTTTCTATTGGCATCTTACCAAATGTCCTCGCCTAACTTTCTATTGGCATCTTACCAAATGTCCTCGCCTAACTTTATATTGGCATCTTACCAAATGTCCTCGCCTAACTTTCTATTGGCATCTTACCAAATGTCCTCGCCTAACTTTCGATGTTGAGCAAAACTGTATCTCATCCCCTGGCGTTCTGCCAAACTCTCTTGGTTGGTTGTATGGGGTGAAGGCTTGGTTTAAACTAGCTGTGGTTGACAGTTTTGTTAGTCAATTTTCGCAGTGATTCGGCAAACAATTTAGGAATTAGAATCTATTATTTTCGAGAATTAGGAATTTTATTCATACATATAATAATGTATTTCAAGATGTTAATAAAACTATTCAATGCGGATAACGATCATATAGTCATAAGATTAAAATTAATTTCAGTATAATTCACAAAAAGAATCTTAATAAAACCTATGTGAAATTCGTTAGTTAGTATAAAATAAGTACACAAATCCAACAAACTTTTCAACACATAAGGTCACAATCATGCGTAGAACCGTAAAGATATTAAAAGATTTATTTCGAATAAAGTGTTACACCTTATAATCATGCTAATTGTCTCTTCAAATGTTGATGACGTCAGCGGTATATAATGACGTCATCACTGGGCACGTGATGGTTCACTCTCCAAGACACATGGTTCGGATGATCCTGTCAGTCACCTGATACGGATCAGCATTGCTGCTGGGTCTGCGGTCCTCAAAGTACCCCTTCCCATCAGCTGCCACCTGGCGAGGGATCCTAATACTAGCTCCACGATGCGCCACTCCGTAGTTGAACTTGTTGATGCTGGCCGTCTCGTGGAGCCCCGTCAACCTTCTCTTGTTGTCCTCCCCACCTGAGGGGTCGTACTCCACTATGTGTTCCATGTGTTTCTTCCCCAGTAACTCTATCGCCTCGTAGATAGCTTCCAGTCCTCCTTCTTCTCTCATGGCCAGGGTACTGATGTTGGTGTGACAACCAGCTCCGTTCCAATCCCCAGGAATAGGTTTGGGGTCGAAGCTGATGACTACGTTGAACTCCTCCGCTATTCTCTGGAGGATCCACCTGGATGCCCAGAGGTGGTCTCCCATCTCGATACCTTCACAGGGACCAACTTGGTACTCCCACTGAGAAGGCATCACCTCCGCGTTAGTGCCGGCTATCTTGATCCCAGCGTACATGCAGGCTCTGTAATGCGCCTCCACGATCTTCCTCCCTTTCACCTTGTCAGATCCCACGCCGCAGTAGTACGGACCCTGGGGACCAGGGTACCCATTTACAGGCCAGCCGTAAGGGTGCACTCCGGTGAAGTCAAACATGGTGTACTCCTGCTCTATCCCGAACCAGGGGTGGAGGTCTGCGCACTTGTCCATGTTATTAGCACAGCTGCGTCGTCTGTTAGTGGGGTGAACGTTTCCCTCGTGGTCCAGGGTTTCACACATCACCAGTATGTTGTCTCCTCGCCTGAAGGGGTCTTTGAAGCAGGCTACAGGCTTTATGTAGATATCACTGTTCTCCCCAAGGGCTTGGTTTGTGCTGCTTCCATCGAAGTTCCAAACAGGCAGTGTGTCGGGATCCATGGTGGGCTCCATCAATGTTTTGGTCTTGCCTCTGAGGAACTGGCCGGATCCGTCTATCCAGATGTAGTAAGCCTGACACTTTCCTCCCTGGTCCAGGTCCATAAAGGGATTTGTCTGTCCGTCTAACCCGTCCATACTGTGCTATTTAATGGGAGGTGTTATCAAGGAGGTAAATATTGTTATGGTTTCGGTATTGTGCTATTTAATGGGAGGTGTTATCAATCGGTAAATCTTGTTATGGTTTCGGTATTGTGCTATTTAATGGGAGGTGTTATCAATTATTGGTAAATCTTGTTATGGTTTCGGTATTGCTGAAGAAGTAAACTTGATTTAACCCGAAAAGCTGTAATCTTGAACGGGGGCTTTATATTATATTGTTTGTCATAATATCCTAAATAGATCACAACTTAATCGGGCTTTCGAACGGAACGGTGAATGGCTACATCAGACAAAAGTAAAATAATCAAATAATACACACAGATAAAGTACCTATACTAGAAAGTAAGTGATTTAAATTAAAATCCTTGGCAATATATAATTACAGCCCATCGAAAATAAAAATCCCGTGGCTTGGAAAATAAATGTGTCATAATATTATCTTACAGCATAGTTTAAATGCTCAGGTCACTGCAACAAGCAGTCCAGACCTTCACCCAACAAACACTCCCTTTGCAGATCAAGGATTGTTTATCACTGATAATATCAGTCCTTGATCAGCGTTCGAAGCTAACACCACGTGAATATAAGGGAAATATGTAAATACAGTTAAAGGCCTCCAGAACGTTTTATAATAAGTTAGCAATGAACTTTTATCCAAGCAAGACTCAGGAACGGAAAGACGGCGCGATTGTTGGTCATGATTCAATCAATAACGTTTAAAGTCAGAATAAACGGACCGAATATCCTGAAAGTTATAACCTTTTGATTGAATGATTAAATCACGAAAAGCGTCTTTCAACCTTATCCTTCATAATTAGTTGAGCAGAAAATGAAATCATGTAGAACATACTCCTTTCTGGGGGACTTTCAGACCCTTCACACTTTGTTTCTGTCTGGTTCTAAGATAGAACCCAAGATACCGTTACAATAATGACTTTAATATAAACTAACATTCTCGGAACAAAACTTAGAATATTTTATATCCTCCTTCTTGTGATAATTAAATTTGTGCTGACCAATCAGCGTTCTAAACCAACACCACGTGACTATAACAGACCAATGAGAATATAGTTAGAGGCTTCCAGAACGTTCTAGAATGACTTAGAAATGTGTCTCAAAACAAGACACCAGAGCCGCAGGAAGATGATAGTTGACCATGATTCAATCAATAACGCTTTAAGTCAGGATACCCGTCTAACTACCGCCTAACTTTCAGAACACAGTGAAATAAGACTAATAAAATAAGATAATGTAACTTTGCTGTCTACAAAAATACATTTTATACGCGATTCTTTTCCAGGTAACAAAAGATTGATCATTGTCGCGTTGGAATTATTAAATACCCATAATTTTAGCATTTACCAGATCCATGGATCCGTGCTGTTTTGTGATTTACTGACAAAAAAACAATATTTTTCATCAATTTAATTTTAAAATTCAAGGAATATCATCCGCCACCCCAAATTCCCTTTCCTTGAATAATTGAGGTAAATAAAATATTTAACACAGCAAGAAAAGGTCGAGCAACACAAAATGAATAAGATTTATTATGATCCTCCGACATTATTTATTCGGGAATGAAGTGAATTACGCGTCTGCAATATGTTATGAAACCCGCTAACTTACCTGAGTAAGTTAAATTAGTGTGAGAAATATAATATAAAGTAATAAGCACCGAATATGTTAATGTTATCTAAAGAGCCCGAACATTTCGTGAAAAGTCTCGATCTTAATATCACGCCGAGATCTTCCATGAGGGAAATGACAGTTGCATTTACCTTACGGCCTCTATGTTATTATGACGATACATACTTACATTTATATAATATAGATTTATATAATATAGATTATTTATTCTTTAGTGTAGATTAACTTTATTTTTATATATTTTATTAAGTGTGAAGGATCAACCATACCTTATTGATATTGTTGAAATATTTAATGATACATTGATATAATAATAAATGATTGTAATATTTTTATTGACACATGCCACCCCACCGCGGGTTTACTACTACATCATAGAGGCCGCGGAATTATGAGGACTACCAGATCTTGGTGGAACCTAAGCGATCCATGATATCACGACAGGCCCTAGAATACCGAGCCGGTTTGGAATAAATTATGAATGTTTAATAAATTGTGTTTAATAGATTGAGTTTAATTTTGCGAATAATAAAACGCGTGAATTTCAATCGATGTATTATTAGATTCCGAATCACCCCATGACGCAAGGTAAAATGCTTCCCTGAGGAGTAATGAGCAAAAAAAAGTTTTGGTCACGCAAAATGATATTAGCCCATTTGCGTGGTACCGGAAAGTTCTCGCAATGAGAATAAGCCTCACGTATTGTAACTTCTATTATATTATCGGCACCAATGTAATTATGGTTTTAAGTAACACTTTGTAACTGTAATACAGTAATAGTCCGATTTACCGCTAATAAAAGATATTAGTTAACGTACGGGTAATTATATTTTGTGCAATCTCATAATTTTCATTAAAATTGTTTTTCGGTGCTGGTTTTTATTGGTTGCTATTAGTTTGACTGTGAGAATAATTAGATTATTCTAAATTATGAGCAATACAGTTATTTTTTGTTCGCTATATAAGACTGAATGAATAATCCTTCACTCCCCCGTTTTCAGTAGTATCATAATACCAAACGTATACGACACACTGGAATATTTTCTCTTGTACCCCCTTGGACTTGTGGTTCAAGCTATCTTGCAAAGACTCTTCACATTCCTGTTCGGACCAAAAGATGAAGACATAAAAGATAAGGATGTAGCTGTGTGCTACCATGTAGTTTGGAATTTCAAGCAACAGTTTCGCAGACCAAACGGGCTCCACTTCTACCTCCTAAAGTTTAAAGAGCTGGCAAGTATCCAAGTTATTGAGGAGAATGATGTCCTGCTGTACTCGCTTACATTCCACGAATTCCATTTTGTGCGGATCCGGCCAGGAGTTGATTACACGGACATAGATCTGTACCCGTTCAACAGCTTTACCATCCACGACCATGCTACTGAAGTTATCACTATTCCACGTGATACAGTTGTCCAATACCTGAAAAGCAAATCACACAGCTCAGGTGGCAATTTAACCATACTACACAATATTGGAAGATGTGGTTCAACGCTCATTGCTTCAATGGTTCACAAAACTAAACAGTTTCACATTCTTTCTGAACCCTTTCCCCTGACGGTACTTGCTATAATGATGAGCAAGCGGAATGATACTCATCCACTGCACTGTGAAGAAAACCTGGAATTAATAAAGACGACATTCCTTCTACTTTGTAATAAACCAGATCAGCGGTACTTTATAAAGATTTCCGGCATCTTCACTGGAAGTTTGATACATCTTGTTCACAGAGCCCTTCCTGGTGCTACAGAAATACACATGTACAGATCACTAATACCCTGCTTATTCTCCTGGGCACGTGTTATGGGTGCGCGGCGCTTCAAGGATACTGCGAATTTTGGAGTAAACCTGCTACCAACCAAGTACAGGAGAATATGGGAGAAGATCAAAGTTACAGGAACTTACAAAAAGTTCCTATTTGCAATGCTATGTCAAATTCATCCTTACTATCTGGAATCCCAAAGTGGGAGAAAGTTGAGAGCCTACTCCTACGAATCGCTTTTAGAACACCGAGAGGAATTCTGCAAAAACCTCTTGTTTGAACTGGGCATTAAAGAAGAGTTGACTTCTCTTGCGCTGACTGCTCTTGAGAAGGACTCCCAACGTAATTCTCCTCTCAGTAGGAAGATTGTGAGTAAGACGCCCCAAGTTGACATACCAAGCGAGGTACGTGATTGGATTGCCAGGATCGGACGAGAGGAATTTGGGATTGAGATGGAGGGACCATATTGTCGGCTTACTAATGTGCCTAATACTTGGAATAGCGGCAGTTAATACTGTTTAAGAGGAACATAAGAGACTTTTTGAGAAGATATGTTCCTCCCGATCAAAAGTACTTGAGGTGGACGAACGTGTTGCCATGGATACCATCTGTGGTGAGCTCCTCATTTGTTGGTGTTATTATCTCACTCTAAAGTTATATCTAACCTTGAAGTTTACTGTTATACCATATCTGGATAACGATATTATGTTAACTCTATGAGTTATGACACCCTTTAGTACCAACTACCAAATCGCTTTAGACTGCTGATTTAGTAAAACTTAAGTAAATACATCTTTAGTATAGCATAATTTTGGGAACGTTATTACCTTGTTTATGTTAATCTTGATACTGGAATGAAGTGTTTACCTTCTAGTTCTACGTCGCATTTGCCACGCCGTCACAGAAAAATAAGTTGACGAAAATGTTAAATACGGCACGAGATCAATTCAAAATTAAGAGAGACAGAAATTAACGGCATTCAACTACGTCTATACTCAATAGTCAAACAATGCATAGAAATTAGAATGTATGCACAGTATAAGTATTGAAGTCAATCCCGATCAAAAAAATCAATCCCGGGATTCGGGAATCTCGAACAAAAATCCCGGGAGTCCCGAAAACCGGGAATTTCCCGAAAATCGGGATTCCCAAAAGCAAATGGCGCTCAACTTCAAGTCCCATTTTGTGTAATAAAGTCATGTCCATGCCATGACCCAAATGTTATGGTTGTACTTGCAGACTGTTTTTAAAGTCCAATAGTACAATTAAAGCTGCCTCATCATGGCACAAGAAGATACCACGAGTGTGAAGTTTCATCATTAACCTTCTTTTCTCAAAGTCTCAAGAAGTACCTTAAGACTACTATTGCGCAAACAACTTGGGCCCATTCTATTACGGACTTTTGTCTGCGTCCTGCCAGCTGTTGAGAGAAACAACTTATCTACGTGTTGGTACTTTTTTGGCTGGCTTCAGCTTTCAGGACTGCTGGATGAACCTTATGCACAGCGACTCTATCCTTATCTTGTATCATGCCACCGTTATTAAATTCTAACTGAGGTTTTTTTTCGG